CTTCTCGGCGTCTTATTCCTTTAGTACAGCATATACAAACCAGTCATTAATGCATTTCAACTATTTACAACTGTATTCTCGTATGTCTACGATTCGTTATTATTTTATTCACAGTTTGAAGTTGTAGTATTAAGGTGCATAGTGGCATTGTATGTATAGTGACTAGATTTCGAGGATTCTAAAATTCATTAGCACAATATTTTGAGTATTTTTGTTGAAAAAACAATGATCTAAACCTGTTAAAGACCCATAAAAATCCCTCAAGACTTAAAAAAATGTGAAATTATTATCATATAAATTGCAGTTTGGAACTAAAGATCTTACGAAAATAAGTCAAAATAAGTCTACGACGGCGGTCCAAAACGTGGTTGATATCCCAAAAAAACAAAAAAAAAAAAAAAAACAGTTCTCGATATTTGACACATGGTCAGAGCCAACGAAAGAGTAAATTTTTTTGTGACATATACATATACATTTCTCACCCCTAAACTATTTTCACCTTCTGCGGACCAAGTTCGTCGTATGTAGTCTCTAGTCTGTACGAGTCGATCAAACTTCTATCAACGGAWCCGAAATCTTTCAGATCGCTCTTGAACGCCCGTTACCCGGTRTCGGCTGGGGCTTTCTCATGATGAACACTTGCAAGATGGCGTCCACTCAGCGTTCTGAGCTAGCTATTCTGCGGATCTTCAATCGACGGTCGGTCAATACAAAATTGCCGTTATACGGTGGGAGTAACCATGATACCATAGTCTGAGGGCTTTCTCCTGATCAATACTTATAGGAGGTGATTCACTTAGCCTTCTGAGCTTGCTACCGTCTCAGCTATTTCGCGGATCTTCAAAACCTTGCCTTAAAAACCGACATTTCAATATGTTCAAATTATGTAAATCATATTTTTTGGAGGTTCGTCGAACAAAAGACTGAGTTACTGATCGATATTGTTCTTACAGGTTTTKTCYGAAAAGTAATAGRACTGAGACAATTTAACGACATTTATTGAACCAATTCTTACTATTCTTTAAAAACTATCAAAATAGGCACCTTCTGCGTCGATGCAGCGCTGCTAGGGCAATTTCCAAGCATTGAAGACGTCACGGAAGGTGTTTTCCGGAATAGCGTTGAGAGCTGAGACTCAGACTGTTTGGATCCCCTCTGTCGTCTCAAAATGCTTGCCTTTCATCGGCCTTTTCAGCCTAGGAAACAAAACAAAAGTCCGGGGACCACATCTGGGCTGTAGGGCAGGTGCGAAGTCATTGGGATGCCGGCCGTGGTTAAGTAGCTGTTCACAAGAAAGGCGGTGTGAGCCGGGTTGTTGTTTGCATTTTTGGATTTCTCCACTCACGGAAAAACGTCCCGCGTCCCGCGAAAATATTTGTCCTGCCTTACCAGGTGCTCGGAAATAAGAGACGAGCCGCTCGATTCCAGTTGCCGTACGAAGTCGTGTCGCGTCCGAAGTATAGTCGTGGCGGAAGAAAATAAGTCATATACTTTCCGTACAAACCCTGTATCATTAAAATCCATGGAGCAAGCTGCTCAAAACAAAATCACGGATTCTGCTGATATTTTTCATATTAGTGCGTACTATRTGGAATTATACTATAGAAAAGTTAYGCAGACTAGACTGGAATCTKGAAGTGTCTAATTTCCCARCTGTTTAAWTGAAAGCTTATCGGGAAAGAGCAMGAGCAAAAACGTGTTTAAGGAKGCATTGTAGTTTAGGCGGTTTAATTGAGGACTAGTGCCTTTTCCCTCACATATAACTACAGTATTCCACGGATATATGTGTTATGAAACGTTCTATTTCTAATATGGATTTATTTCTGTTATTTATATTACTCGTGTAGGGTTTTCGAATTTTCGTGCATTTTTAAAAATATTTTTTGCTTTTTTATTTCGTGATATCGTTTAACTAGCTTCACTACCATAAGGATCGTAACAGTTTATGTGCGCATCATATATTTGCTATAACTTGCGATATTTATAGTTAGTTAGTTTTACAATGGCTTGCTGCATTTAACTTCCGTTTCCGCCAAACTTATGCACCAAAACCCCCAACAACTACACTCACTTCACTTCAGCTTCGTAGTTCACTTCAATTTTTAACTAACTGATTACATATATATAATATTTACCGCCTCAGCTTCTCAGCTTGTTCTTAACTAGACTGCCGGCCACTAATTTGAGCTCTAACACACACCGCCCATAGTCGCTGACCAGTTTTGCGTCCTCAAATCGTTGAGTGCGCGCCGCGTTAATGACACACATTAATGCGCTTTGTAATTAGGAAAGTGAGCGCCACCTACAAATTCGGCGMTTGAAGTGGAGAGAAAGGAATGTGGAAGTGCAGCGAACCGAAAGCGCGTAAACKCCTCATGATTTACACCTTATCGCTGCTGCCGTAGCTCGTAAAATACTTCGCTGTTGTTGTTGTTGYCGTTGGCTGTGATTGCGCTGCGGCTTGCTGTGTATGTGTGGGTGTGTGCTGGGCGGCGGGCAAATTACTGTAATTACAACTACTGTTATTAGCGCTAGCGCTAGCCTTCTGCAGCGACGCGTTGAATTCATTTAAGCAGCTATCAAAGCTCTTCTGAGCGGCGCCCGCCTTATTACTACTACTATTAATACTACTACTACCGTTACTGCTACTACTAATGCAACTATTATTGCTGGCATTAAAATTACTGCTATGACTTGCTGTTGTTAGCGACTGCTGTAGCTGTTGTTGTTGTTGTTGTTGTGGCTTATCACCTTGTGTCAGCGCTTGCTGCTGCTGCTGCTGGTAGGATTGATATGCATCCGAGGAGACGGTGGACCACGAGCCATCCTTCGCCTTCACGTACAAATGCTGCTTACTCGGCTGTTTGCTGCCAAAGCTGTGATTGTAGTTTTGTTGGTGTGGTGGCTGTTGATTCGTCGGTGGTTGGTGATGCGCTGGCGATTGCGTAAACGCCGGTGCATGTGTGTTGGTTTGATGTTCAGCCGCGACGCTGGCGCTGGAAGCCCAATCATTGAGCAGTTGATTCGTTGATGTGCTAAGCGCGGCGCCAAAATCGCTAGCCGCCTCGTTGATCGCATTAGTTAGTGCTGCGCCGCCGCCACCGCCACCGCCATCGCTTAGCGCGCTATTTTCGCCGCCTGTGAGAAAGTCAAAATGCGCGGCGCTGCTGCTATTTGTGGCGGCGCTAAGTGTAAGCGCATTGCCAGCGCCACCGCCGCCGCCGCCGCCACCGATGTGGTTAATGAGCAATTGTGATTTATTATTGCTGGAAGTTGCATTATTGCCGCTGCCATATAGATTGCCAAAGTTAATGTTGTTTTCGCTTTTGAATATTTTCGGATGACGCTGGCGGCGCAGCGTGCCCGCACCACCGCCGGTTACCATCTGTGCGGCCAATGTGGTGCTGGCAAAGGCGCCAAGTCCCTGCCGCAACGCATTACTGGCGGCAAGCAATTGCTGTTGTTGTAGTTGTCGTTGATTAGCATTGCCGCTGCTGGGGGTGGCACACATGTTGCCARTGTTGAAGGGATTCATGCGCGGCATAAGCGCATTGGATGATGAGCTCACACTATCACTGCCCGCGGAGCTGGATGCGGTGGCGGCAGATGAGCCGGACGAGCCATTGGTCGGTGTGGGCGAAATGCGACTGATGTTGCTCATGAGATCCAGTTTATTTTCGGTGATATTGATTTTTTGCTGACTGCCACCGTACAAACTCTTCGCGTCGGTTTTCTTATTGCTTGCGCTTTTCGCTGGTGAGGCGCTCAAAATCGCCGTAGACGCGGTGGAGGCGGTCATTTTGTCATTGAAGGGATTCGACGCGGCCAAATCGATGAGGCCGGCATAGTGCGCGCTGGGTGGCGCCGARTACATGCCAGCGGCGCGATAGTCATCGTGTTTATTATGCGCTGGACTAGTGTTGTTATTGTTGCCGTTGGCATTGCTCAATTGGCGCATTGCCTTACCGTTGGCGGCGACGGCTGACACAGCGGCTGTTGTTTTCGCGGTTGTGGCATAGCGATTCTGATAGAGTTTGGCATTCGCCACCAAATTCGTTGTTGCATACGCGCCGCAGCTATCATAGAGCGCATTGCCATTGTGTATGCCACCGATGGTTGGCACATTGTTTGCACCAGCACCACCACCACCATTGCCACCGGATGTTTGCTGCAATATGGCATGTGCATTTCCGTTCGGCGTTACGTGTCCCAGTGGGCCGTTGGGCGTTTTGAATGTTGAACATGCAACCTCAGCATAATCGGGCATGTTGAGCGGTGTCAGCCTGCCAAAAGGGAAATAAAGAAGAAAGAGAAATGTGTTTTYAGTTAGCTAWGAGTTGGCGAAGAAGTGTGCGTATGTTTCTGTGTGTGTGTGTGTGTGTGTRSTTGGTTGGTTAAGTGTTTTTTGTTTTCATTATTGTTGCTGTYATTTCCTGGCAAACGAGCGAACATTTTCATTAGAACGGAAGTACATCGTACAAACATACATTTTATTTGCCATTTGCGTTTACGCGAACGCTTGCCCGTTGGCAGTGAGAATATGCCATGCCAAGGAACGCGGTGCTATGCCGCGCATATGTCACACAACCACATACGGCGACAAACATACAGATTGCAACATTACGTTGCATGTTCGATTCATGTGTAGCAACGTCAATTGGTTTGTTGCATGCCGTTGCGGTGTTTCCCGTTTTCTTTTTTGCCTCGCCGCATCCCCCACCGGCTGCCTGGCTAGCACCGGGTTTTTCGTTTGCATTCCGCATTTTACAGGGGGTTTGTTGCCGGAAATTGTTGTTGTTTTTTGGCAAAATGATTGAGTATTTATGAGTGTTGTGTGGTCGCGACACGCACAATTACAAATAAATGCATTCAAGCACATACACATTTGAACACGCGCTACCAATTGAGTTCTTAAAAAGAAAGCCAGTCGCCGACTGAGTGGCAGCACCGGTCGCAGCTCGTTAGCATTATCCAGCAAGTGTAACTAGTCTGCGGTGTGACYCTGCAAGGCGGCGGAGGGGGCTGCTTTGGCTGTTTTACATGAGGCCGGAAACGGAAAATGACCGCTGGCAGTAGGTTACAAAAGAAATCGCGTTAAATGAAGCCATTAAAAATATCAAATAGCGCTAACTGAATTCCTACTCCTAAACAAATTACTTATGCGCTAATAGACTTATGCAAYCAGCTAAACAGAAAAGTTGAATTTTTAARCAATTCGTTTMAATTTCTACAATTCGCGATAAATAWGAGATGGYTKRRRAATCTTTAGGCGCACCGCCAGATGGCGCAATTAACACCAGTGATATATTGTGTGAACCTGGGAGGAGGTCTAAACGCGGGTTTTAGACAAATTGGAAAAAGAACGAAATCAGTTAATGAATTTAAGGAGCACTTGGAGACAGTCTACGCTGATTCTTCTCTTTCGCCGGCGTCAAAAACTAGTTAAGAGTRTTATCAACTTTTGATTTTGCAGATCCAGGTGCCTCGAAAACGGCAAAAACAGAGGATAACGTCATAAATATCTACGATTCGTTTCCACGACAGTCGGGTTCATATAATTGGAACGGATTCGCATTATGAGATCGGCAGAATTCCTGAGAATTACTTCAGGAATGACTTCTGCTATCCACGATCTCGTATTGGCAGACTTCCTGCTGAAGGTCTTTGAGATAGCTGAGACTGTAGAAATTAAAAAATGTATCTTGCATAGCTTATCAATCATTAAAAAGATGTAGCCGGGGAGGGGCTGTCGCATTTGATCCCTGCAGATAACAAATACAACCGTGAGTTCACTTCACATAAGTTTGGAATCCACTCCTCGAAGAGACGAAGACTGTCCTATCAGCCGAAAAGACCATCGTTTGCTGGTATCGGGTGGGTGGAACCTACAGCAACTACGATGAGCAAGATATTGAAAAAAACACTCCCCATTTAGCAGGCAAAAAGTGCGCTTCTACCAGCACAACGCGCCTCTGCTGTTGGTCGAACCACACTGCAACAATCAACGCACTGTCCMGGTTTGTGTTCTCGACTTTTTAGTATTATAGTTTTCATTTATACTCGGCTTGTTTTGCCATTTCAGAATGAACATCCTTAATTCGAAACCAATTACAATATTGGATTTCGCCCAACAGAGTCGTTAATTCGAGAAACCACGGATTGGTTTCGCACCACGATTATTCTACTGGATAATTAGACCCTTAACAAGGCTTTTCAGTGTTCACCTCTGACGCATTTGGTGGAAGAATCTTGATTTAAGGCTTCACAAAATCCAACTTGTGGAAGTATTGAAGCCGAACGACCATCAAACGCATCGTGCAATTGGAGAACATGTCCAAACCGAGATGGCCACTAACATCGAGTCCCACAAGAAAGTTTTGTTCAGCGATGAATCACAGCTCTGGTTAAATGGGTATGCCAATAAACAAAATTGCCGCATTTTTCGTATCTGAACTGAAGGATGTTGATGTGGAGGACCAATGCCATACAGCCAACGAAACAAACAATTTAAAGAAGGAAGCTCTTGGTGAGCGCATTTTCTAGCGTAAATTTTGGGCTAGCGATGGGCCTCATCGCTGAACAAAGTGTTGTTCGAATAGGATCTTCTTGGAACGTTTCAAGAGCCTGTAGAGCGAAGCGAGCGGCTTCATTTCTTGCACATGCTGTAGTTTGTACGCTTTCAATTCTCCACGTAAAGAGCGCCAATTCGTTAAATACTCTCTGCTGCTATATTTTCTTCATTGCCTGTTCACGCGTGATCTGCCAAACAAAAAAAAAAAAAAAATAAAAAAATTAAAAAAAAGTACCTCTACTAGGATCACACGTTATAACGCAAAGAAAAAGCGACGGAATGGACTTGTATTTATTTCTGCTGTCAATACATTGGGCGACCGATAAATTATCGATATCCATTTGACATAAATTACAGGTAACAAATGAAGGAAACTTGGGTGCGAACAAGATAGCCACATGCTCGTTATATTTTTACAACAACTGTGCTGAATTATAGAAAAAAAGTTGTGTGCATAAATAATAGAAAATGGCAGCAATAAACGCGATTGTAAAAGTGCCAATTAAACGGTTTAATTGGAATTTCTTTTATATGGATGGCAATGCGAACAAACGTGAATACGTGATCAATGCTAGAAAATCGTTAAAACGCTACGCTAACGGTAGTATATATTTTTTAATAGTCATTAACAAGAAATAATAGCAGATTTTAAAGCAGTTGAGAGAGTGTGCAGTAGTCAGCGCGCGGTAAGCTGCAACAAAGAGACACAGGCGCGTGGGGAATCGGAGAGTTGGGCGTGCAAAAAGTTGGTGTATTAAAAAATCACAATTTTAATGGCTTTGATGGCAATAAATTTTATGGTGACGCGCGCTTTGCCAAATGTTAAACGGATATAATGAAATTTCCCAGCGAAAGTATATGCGCGCTACACCGGAAATGAAGTATATTTCAAACAGTGGGGGGGAGCGGGCACAGTACCGGGCATTGACAGAGAGGGGTGAGGTGTGGAGGTACAAACTAAATAAGAAAAGGGATGTAAAACAATGCAAACGCAATAAGGTAAATAAATGCGTACAGCGGTCACAAATAAAACAAAAAACAACAAAAATATTCGAGTACAAATAAATGCAACCACAGGGCTGCCAGTGCTGGCTGCTTACCGCCTTCATTTCATTTGCTACATTCAATTTTAAGCAAGAACGAAAGGGACACGCAATGAGTATTTCGGCAGCACACAAAAGGCGGAGAGTAGGAGTGGATGGAGTTGGTTAGAGAGGTGGAGTAGGGGAGGATATCAACTCGCTGGGAATTCATTAAGCGCGCCAAGAGGTAGGCGGATGCGGCGGTTGGCAAGCGAACAACGAATCAGTGGGGCTGTGAAGCAGGCTAACGGCTAGAGCAACAACAAGGCTGATAGACAGTGCGCTAGACATTATAGCGGGGCGGTTTTAACAACGCGCCGGGAGGCACCGAGTGGAAGGCCAGAGTAAAATATAAAAAATAAAAAAAAATATATACATACAAGTATATAATTTGTACTTTTTTTAGAACCGACAATATTGTTGATAGTGCTGTTGTGCGTTGCAAGCATTTCTGTTTATTGCTGCTGCGTTCTTGTTGTTATAATTGTTTCTGCATCGCTGACAGCACGCTCAAAAACAGTATGCAGACAACACGTGGCTGCGTGCTAAACATTTCATTTCACTTTCCCTAAGTTTGGGGGTTTTGCTTTCAGCGTGCGCTGCGCTAAAAAATGCCAGCTGGCAGCCATTTGATTTGCATTTCTTTCTACTTTTCGACATCCTTCGTTCGTCGCGTTATTCGCGGCAGTTTTCTAAAAATGCACTCAAGTGTAACACTTTAATGACTTTGAAGCRTTTTTTCATATCAAGCGCGTTGTTGTTGTTTTGTCGGCTGTAGCGCTGGTTTTTAATTATATGATACGCTGGCGAAATAAGCGGTTTACTCATTGACTTTGAGTGTTTTAGTTTTTTGGCGCGTTATTTTCCTCGASGAGAAGTGGTGGTGCGCTCGGAAATTTCGAGGTTAAATATCAAGGTTTCTAATTAAGGCTAATAAAGTTATTGATTAATTAGTCTAATCGACACTTGAGTATGTATTGGAATTGAGACGACTCGTCACAACTTGCTTTGACTTTTAATGCAATATAAGCAACCCTTGCATGACAGTGAATAATGAAGTCAGGAGCAGACTTTGATAAAGTGGAGAAGTGATAAAATTTTTGCTGATACTTATTCAAAATAAAACAGTATTGATTCCAAATAAGCGCATATATAAACGTTTTCTTTCTTTAAAGCCACCAATGAAAGCTGGATAGTTTGTAGAGTGTACCTCGGGTAATGCTCATCAGMAATTGTAAGACTACAGGATTTGTCCGTTAAATAATTGGATGGAGTCGATAAAAAAAAAATTTTTTTTGAAACAATCGTTTCAGTTATTTAAAAACTTTCAGATTATTGTCCTTCTGTGTCGATACAGCGCTGCCAGCGCGATTTCCTAGCATTGAAAGTGTTGCGGAAGTCATTCTCCGGAATAGTCTTGAGAGCAGAGGTGCATGCTGCTTGGATCCCCTCTGTCATCTCAAAATGCTTGCCTTTCTTCGGTCTTTTCAAGCAAGGAAGCATAAAAGTTCAAGTGGCCACATCTGGTCGGTAGGGCAGATGCGGAAGCGTCGGGCCTTGACTGGGTAGCTGTTCAAAAGGAAGGCGGTGTAAGAAGGGGCGTTGTTRTGGTACAACAAGCAATCGGCCGCGATGTCTCGTCGGACCCAATTGACCCTTCGTTTGAGTGTCTTGAGGACTTCCTAAGTTCTTGGTATTGACGGTTTTTCCAGAAGAAAAAAAATAATTTTGGACGATGCCTTTGATGTCAAAAAAGGCAATGAGCATCGTTTTCACTTTGGATTTGCTTTTTCCTCCCTTTTTTGGCGAGAAGACGCGGGCGTGCGCCACTCTGAAGATTGCTTCTCTGTCTTTGCTAAAGCAACATACCGAGTTTCACAAAAAAGTTAACTCTAACGAACAACAACTGACCAGTCGCTCGTTCGTTAGCTAGGAATATAATCAGTCCTATTACTTTCCTGACAATCTCTGTACTTACGAGCCATTGAGGCCAGAGCAACAGCGGCTTTGTCTAGAATTTAGTTTTAGATTTGAACCTAGGGTCTTTTCGATGCATCTCACTACCGATGCTGAAGGAACCTTCTTGGTATTGTAGAAACCTCTCAAGAAGCACGGCTAACTTCTGCAAGGAACTGAAAGACAGGGAATTGAACTGGGGCCGACAAGAACTCTAGGTAGGGTTATAGCACAAGACGTGAGACTTTCGTCTCCTCACCAGGTCCGCTAACACGTTTACGCCAATCGGGAACTCAAGCAAAGCATAGGGGCCTCTGCATGGAGCAAAAGTTTCCGGAGAGGACGATACATATGCAGCTTCAGTTCACGAAACACTTGATCCAATTTTCGGTTAAGTGGTAGGTAAAAAGCCACATAAACTTAAAATATAAAATCGAATGAGAGAGAAACAAAGTCGAAACCAACTTCAAATTCGGAAAGTGTGCCGGTTGTCAGCTCATTATTGAAAGGGACGAAGAGTAGAGTGAACGTACAGGGTGTCGACGAAAAGAACTCTAAATCATTCACTTCATCAAACACTAGGGGTGACAAACACATTTGCAATATTATAAACAGTAGCCTAAACTTCGGTTAAGCGACCGGTAAGAAGCCACAGACGAAACAAGACCAATGTTTAGCGTTTGACAATGCGAGACTCGAGCAGGGAATATGGAAACTTATGGAACTGATAGCAGTGACTGCAGCTGAAGTTTTCATAGAAGCCGTCAGAGAAGACCATATGACACTTCCTAGCTGCGTAATTGCCGGTTAGCACCACGGACGCTTTCAGCAGCTCAGGCGTGCGGACGATTGGTCGGAACCACTCAATAAGGATACCGTATTGAAGATGATGGGTATACGAAGGAAACAGGAGACGAAGCTGTGGGGTTCTTCCACTGCCCTTTTAACTTATGTCCGATTCGAGGTCGCCCTTTCGCTCTTAGATAAATTGAGGAGATTTTACGATTCTTAAATTCCTCTCTCTCTTAATGACAACTGAAGATTGACAAATATGGACGGAAAATCTTAATAGTAATAAGTCCGGAAGTGAATACTTAATCATACGAAACCTAATTTTAAAGACAACTACTTGATAACTTTGTATATGTCACTATTTTTAGGCTAATTACATAMTGTGACCTAATAAAAGCCGTCTAAAATCCATGCTAACAATTTGCATCCTAAGTTCCAGAATTAATTGGCGTAAATTAATAAAAAAATGGGGAAAACAAGATAATAAAAGAAATAACTTAAACCAAAAGGCAATAACATTTAATTTTATAGGTACAAGCGGAAACTTTTGCGAGCGCTTATCGGTGGCAGTTAATGGTTGAAAAGTTGTGGCAAATGAGAGTTAATGAAAAGAAGCAGAAATCGGAAATGAAAATAGAGCAGAAATAAATAGCAAAACTAAAGCAAATGCAAAGCATTAAAAACGGACGGGTGAAATCAAGGACGCCGAGTGTAAAAGTAAGAAACCACACGAAATAATAAAAAAACTAAAAATCAAATGAAGCCACAAATGCAAATTAGTAAGCAAAGTAATTAAATGAAGAGCGGGAAGTGAGCAGAAAATCTGCTAAGCATTGATATATGCTTATAGCTAAGGCTGCGAACACACACACCGTCCATTGCAAGCAGTGCCATGCTTAGATTATTCGCAACACGCACATTTCGTAACCGTTTGTGCTAGGGCGCCAAAATGTAGGCAACACTTTGCCGTTTTGTTTGCGCTCACACAATAGATAACTAATTTGCTRGGCGCGCAGGTGAGGCAAGCGATAACGCCCTGCAAACTGATGACTTTTGATTACATTTGCCTATACCTATGTGTGTATATATATGTGTGTGTGTGTGTGTGCCTGTATATGCTTTTGTATTGGAAATTACCAAAATAAGCGCGTTATAACTCACCGTTCATAATCGGGTAACGGCAACGTTTGCTGCCCGGTGACTTGTGCGTAATCCGGAAGTTGGTCCTTTGTTGTGCAATTGCTAGCCTGACGCCATACACCGCCGGTCGGATCGATCCAAACACCATTGGCATTTAACGGTAGCGTAGGAAATTTGCGCACCGCACCGATTGCGTGATTGCCTGGAATAAGAAAGCAGAAAATGAAAACGCTGGATGAGTAAGCAGCATATATGGTGGAGTTGAAATGAAAGGAAAGTAATATACAAGTATATACTTTTTTATATCTATGCGTGTGTAAATATGTGCTTAATTCGTGAATTCCTACTCGCCTAAGAACCTAAGGCACTTTTGAGGCGTTCAAAATCAGCGGTTGTAGCGTTTATAGCAAATGGCTTCAAAACGCTTCATTAGGGTAGGCAACATGGTTGGCGGCGCTTGTAAAATATCTATGTTTTGCGTGCTCTGAACCCTTTCGCATAATTTTTCTTGTTTTTTAAAGCTRTGCAGGAGACCCATAAAATGCCAAAACAACTTTGCTGCACTCATTTACTCCTGCCACTCACGCCTCATCAGCGATTTATTTGCGTGTAGTTAAGCAAATGACAGTTATTGTATCCTTTCGCTGATAATGTGCAGCTCTTAATCAAGTCGCCTAATTTGCTAAGCTACATTTGATGTACCTTTTGTTTGCTTTATTATAATTTTTTTATTTTTATTTTTTTTCAAGTTCGCCTTCATTGTGCTCATAATTAATGAGATTTTCACGTGCCTCTYCGCCATTTCTCAATACGCTTGTTGTTCGTAGATTTGTTCAGCTTTGCTTTTGCATTTCGCAAATTYATGTATCTGTAACGTTGGAGGCGTTTCTACACACTTGTAGCAATCTTGACTAGAGCGCAAGAAATCGCTATTGTTTCGTTACTGCGCTAAAAATATCTATTGCTTTTTGTTTTATTTTTGGGTTMTATTTGGTATTTAAGATACTATTTTGAATAGAAAAAGTCTTTGTATTTATGGGTACAAAGCTTCGTGCAACAGTCTCGAATCGACAAGCAGGAAGTTTCAAGGAAATTTGATGAAATGCTTGATTATATCGATAAAACAGCTTAGACCCGCTATTAATATTTATAATAATTAATTAAGCTCGTTACGAAATGAGGCTTACGAAATGAGGCTTATGATATGAGTTATTATATGTTGGTATGTATACAGCTAATAGGTTTGAGAGAAAAATACTACCAGCGTTTAAGTGTGAGATACTCTGTTTGAACTGAGCTTTCTTAGGCGCTTTCGCTTAAACTTTTTGAAAATTTTGCTGTATCATGACTTCGCCAATGGTGCGAGAATTGTTAGAACATATTTTGCTTTTCGAAAAATTCTACMAAACCGTCAGCTCAACTTAAATCAAGGCATCTGATAGAGTCTTAGACATGAGAGCTAACTATTTGACCATGTTTCAAGCAACGGGAACAGTGAGTCGACAATATTATCTGYCTTAATTCAAACATTTGATATGCAATTGATACTGTTGTTGTTGTAAATATATTATTCATCTTATAGTTTTCTACCTTAGTGAACTATGAGCTCGGAAATATATGTACTTTAGTATAATTTTTATTTCTTAAGAAGTAGAAAAAATCTGACTCGATAAAAAATTGGGAAGTGAAATTCGTTCTCCAGTCTACAGAGTGTCTTCCAAAGTGTCTAAGAAGACAACTCGAATGAGTTCTGCTTTCGAGTGAATAAGCTCTATCGAGATAAGAATCCTTCATAAGTTTACAGAGTGTGTTCTATAAAAGAGCTCTTAGATTGCTYGAGAAAGCGATAGAAGAAATGATAAAGGCACAAGATAGAAAATTGTCAACCCATTAATATTAAAGGTAGTTAGCGGTAAATTTACTATTCCGGAATGCATACTTCTTCAGAGAAGTGACTATGCCCTACCTATAGAGAGCGACGATACTAGCCTTGCGCACACTAATCGTGCATTCAAGGCTGGTTAGGGAATGCTTAGCCGCGTTAACAATCGCATCGAGTCACTTTGTGATAAGACTAGTWTGGGTGTYMGGCTACATTCGAAACGCAGCTAACTGCTGACGATTGGACGAGAAAAGACGCCCAAGTCTCATCCCGCTATCAGTAAAATTGGAACTGGTCGTTGTTCTACTCTCTTCGTGTATTCGACTCACGGATGCTGGGCTTCACGGGAGCTTCACCAACGCTGAGTTTTGGTACTGTACTGTAAGACTCTTCTTGCGCAAGGTCTATTGCAATAAATACAGTWCGGTGAATTCTTTACACTCAGYAAGGCTAATMTTTCGCTSGTTGTGGTGGTTCTAACASCCTATCCATGCATGGTGTAYGGTTGATAATTTTGTCGTATACCARCTGTAACATTTGTTTGGTAGAAKACAAYGTTGAAATATATCAAGACTTCTATATTTACCTATATTATCTATTCTACCTATATTTTCCTACAGTTTATATTGACCCCGAGGTCAAACGTATAAATTGTCTCATTTATCGATTCAATAAGAGTTATATATATTGTAGTCCAAGTGCCATCCCTAATTTGAGGATTACCAGTAGAATCTAACCAAAACTAAAATCATCAAAAAATATTGAAAATAATATTGCCAAATTGAAATATGTTTTGAAAGGCCTCAATCTTCTGATGGGATCAACATAGTTCAGAGGATTAAAAATAACTGATTACTTTTTCTAGGCTTAAGTGTTTAAATGGGTGCTCGTCTTTCAGCTCTAAAAGTGCTCAAAGCGATACCAAATCCTGAACCAAAGGACGATGAAACGCTTCATAAGAAGAAACCTAAGCCTCGTACAATGTTTGACGCCGGCAACTGAAGAGTACAAATGACTAACGCACTACTTTGATTAGAGCAAAAAAGCTGAGAAGACAATGAATACTGTGGAGTCTTATAAAATTACGATTTTGAAGTAATTATCGAGCAAGGAAAAATATTATTGCCTCCAGGAAACGATTACGCCTATCTATTACCTCATACTCAGTAAACCGATCARGAATCCAACACATGAATATATATAGTAAATATAATATGTAAATATAACTATTGTATGGCGAAATAAAGTTAGTGTGTGTGTTCAGTACTCACCATGTAAACTGCCCAACGATGTTTGCTTAATGAATTGATAGCGTTTGAAGAGCACCAAAGCGCCGAAGAGAAACACAATTAACGCTATAATGGAGCCCAGCAGAATGATGAACCAGGTCTGTGTTAGAAAATCATCAGCAATGTCGCGATTGATGGGATACCTGTGAAAGCAACAAAAGCGATGAGAAACGATGGAAATAATGTGCGGCAAATGAGAAAATGGAAATTAATGTACTAGAGACCAGTGAAAARGATGAATGAAAACAAGCGACACCGTTGGGTGGAGACACATGCCAAAGATGCCAATAACCAGCAGGCAGCAACAACAACATATACAGCTAGCAACACCAGCAAATACAGTCAGCAACAACAGCAGCAACACCACTACATTTTCACTTTAATCAGCAGCAAATTTGCGCAGGAAACAAGTGAAATTGCTGTCGATTTATGGCTGCTGCATGTATGTTGCCCGCTGTTATTGTTGTTATTGTTGCTGTTGCTGCTGTTATATGTGCTGTATATGCTGATGATGTTTTGTCGCCTACGGTTATGTTGTTATTGTTTTTGTTGCTGTTGTCGTGTTGTGATTGCGTTGATTGCCGGCAGCCCAAGGGCGGGCGCCCCAACTCGCACGCCGGCTAGTTGGTGGCCATTTAAACAACAAATAACAGCGCTGTGCGAGCGTAATTGCGGGACACGATAGCAACAAAAACACCAAGAACAAGAACAGCAACAACACCAACARCAACGACATGAGAAATATTATTTTTGAACGCAAATAGTCTGATGCCATTGGCGCTGGCTTTGGTCAACGGTCAACTAAAGCCCATGTCGTACATACACATACACACACTAGCAAGTGTATATATGTTTGTATGCGTGCTGTGTGCCCCGGTGCTTTTAACACATACTCGTGCATATACATACCTCGTGTAGCCGGTGTCGAGCGATTGTGTGCGTGGATCCATGCGCAGCACAGCCGGCTTGCTGAATGGGCCCACACCCACCTTGGTGGCGGCCGCAACGGAAATGTAATATGTAACGCCGGTGCTGAGGTTGGCCAACAGCAATGTCGGTGAGCCGGCATCGATGGTCATATTTTTGAAAATGCGTGTGGTATTGTGCGAGTCCAGACCCTTCACCAGCACATTGTAGTTGGTCAAAATGCCTGCAACGGGAGCAACGAAAATCAAGCATGTGAAAGCGGAGCAGAAAAGTAAGGAAAAGGAAGAATTTGAAAAAAGTTGCATGTAAAATGCTGGAATATGCATGGCAAAAGAAAACAGAAATCTCATTTCTACTCGAAGCTAAAATGAAAATTGTCAACGATATGGATTCCAGGCATCAAACCCTGCTCGAGTTGTACTAAAGGTAAGGAGATAAGTTGCCTTTTGTGCACATTTCCTCATAGAGATTTCCGTCTTCCTTTACCATCAGTTTGTGTGTCGCTTTGTGCTTGTGTTTATTTGAATTTTATACGCACCATTTCGTGTCTTATTCGGATAGGGCGGCTGCCATTTGAGGAACACCGATGTCCGATTGAATTGTATGGCCTCCATAGCATGCGGCGGCGACTCGGGCACTGTAAATGAAATTGACGCTTTAATATAATCGCTCCGAGTGTGTGTATGTATATGTGTGTGTGTGTACATGTGTAGTTGGTCGGGGTACTCAGTGACCCATGTTAAGTGGCAGCAATCTAATGCGGAGCAAAAGTGTACTAAAGCGTGTTGTGCTGTCGCGTTGTGCGGTGTGTAGGTGTTGAATTTGTATGACCCAGTAGGGAAATTTTGGAAAAAAAAAAATAATAAACGAATAATATTTAAAGAATTGTGCTTTAGATTGAGCGCTATAGAAGTTATGTCTTCTTTAGAAGACAGCTATTGAATACTTTATAAAAACTAATAGTAAATTTTTGTACATATAATTCATACATATATAGCTACTGCTCTGCTTTGGGTGGCATATATGATATTTTTTGTATACATAAACCAAAGCTATCAAGCATACAAACATATCCTCAGCTTTATGGRGTTTAAGAGTATCTATTTAATCAGTGGGAGATGACGGAAATGAAATAAATTGCTTTAGATTTTAGCCTGGATCGATAAGTTCGAAAACCAACGTTCTGTTGTTGTCATTTGTAACTCCGGTTATTTCTGAGAATATAAATCGGACTTATTTCTGATGTCCCCAAAGGGAATACTAAGAGATCAATGTCTGGTGCCGACACAGTCCGCGTCCCAATCTAACCTAAAATATCTCAAAAACATCGGTCGCGATGACTACAAGACCCATCCAAAATACAATGTGTGAAGACAAATCGAGGGATTTCATATAGRTTGTCAAAAAAGTCTTGCGGTATTTTCGCTAGTTGGCGCTGAGAGCGCGTAGTTCTAGTTTTATTCGTCGCAGCGAGTCATGCTGTACCTTTTCGGAAAGCTCATTTCACGCGCTAACACGTGTTCGATTGATTGTCGTTTCTTTTAAGTCGCTCGTGAGTTATAGCGTCGCAAMCATGGAGCAAAATAAAGAGAAAATACGGCATATTTTACAGTACTACTACGATAAAGGCAAAAATGTATCTCAASCCGCCAATAAAATTTGTGCAGTTTATGGACCAGCTAAAGTTTCCATTTCCACCGCACAACGATGTTTTCAACGTTTTCGTTCTGATGTAGAGGTGGTCGAAAATGCGCCACGCTCCGGAAGGCCTGTCGTCGAAAATTGCGATAAAATCGYTGAATTGGTCGARAGAGACCGGCATAGTAGCAGCCGTAGCATCGCTCAAGAACTGGGCRTGAATCATCAAACCGTTATAAAATAAAAAAATAAAAAATACCGCAAGACTATTTTGACAATATAATGGGTTCCAGGCCACAAAGAAATTTTGGGAAAGCCAATAGCTGTTTTCTGCAAGGGCAGACATAAGGATCAGGATGAGATGGAATACCTTTAGGATCAACAAAATCATGTGTGAGATCCCTGTTTTTTACTCACATGGTCTCGAAAGGACTGTGGGACAATTGTTGGTTATCACCACTGGTAACACATGTGACCCCGTTAGACATAAATAACAACGATACAAAGAGAAAGTGGAGGAAAGTACAAATAAGAGAGGAAATGGAACATCTCAAGAAGGAACTTCGTAATCAGCGACCTGACAAAGTATCAAAATTAGATATCAAGTCGATTTGAAAGTTCTCCAAAAGAGTTGGTTTTCTGTACGACGAATACTTTAGCCTCAAATTGAACTGAACTGCCATCTGGAAGTTTGTCTATGTATGGCGTGGCTGTTGGCATAACCAAAACTTACTTAACCTAACCCCAACCTATGGACAATAGAAAAGGAAGATTTGCGTATGATTCCAAGACTTATCAAAAATAAATTTGAAGATATATCGACGAACCGAAAATCATGAAGGAATGTTGCGTACTGCTTTATAAGCGAATCCCGCCCTTCTAATAAAATAGATAGATAATAAATATCATCTGATTTTTCTAAAAAAGGCTATAGGCTGTTGATAATTATAAAAAGTGTTGGTCGTGTCTAGATCCATTTTGGTTAGTTAGTTGTTTTATATTTCAAAGCATTACTTGCATTACCAAGTACTCTCTAACTCAGCAGACTTTACATTAAAGTCCAAGAAATTCGAAAGGCTTCGATTTTATCTTTTCTGACTTTATTAGGTCTATCTTCCTTGTCGTCTAACGAAATCACATTCAGAGCGCTAAGTTTCAAAATTTGTCTAACAAATGAGTTAGAGCTTTGGTCATAACTTTTAAGTATAGTTTATGAAAAGGGGCCTACGATAAACCATTGAAGATTTAACWGCTTAAATTTCAATATGAAAACTAATACATTTGGTAATACTACCCGAAATGTAACTGTTTTTATTGAGGTTAAGGTGTAAACAACTACCCAAAAGTATTTGTGTATTTGTTGTATTCTAATCTTTAATCCTACACCAAAGAGCTAAGAAATGGTATACTAAATAATAGTACTCAACTCAGCTCTTTTCAGTTATCCACCTCTAACCTGCTGTAGCAAAAAGGTACCTCAACTCTATAATTATTTCCTACATGGCCAACCAATCGATCCAATTTTAATAGGTGGCTGGTGTTCGTCGATTTTAAATGAAAATTGCCGTTCAGAGTGGTGTCACTTTTGGCCATAAATCACTCAACTAAAGCTGCTGTGACCAAAAAGACAATCACAGCACACAATTGGGAACATTTTGTGTCGGTGAAAATGTGTTTGTTTGCGTCTGCCTTCTAGTGCATGGCGCTCTTACTAGAGGTGCACAGTTTTCKGCATTTGTTGCGACCATTGTTTTGGTATGTGAATGTGAACCTAATCAAGTATCGAGCACATAAAACCCTAAAGTGGACAAAAGTCCTTTACGCATACACATGCACACAAACTGCAAACTTCAAACTGCTACACTGCCATATTGGGACAGCATCGTTAAAATTCACTGACTATGTATGTAGTGTACCCCACTTTCAATTTCTCTCGCATTTGCTACTTACCATCTTCCATGGTGCGCACACGTTTCGAATTGGACGGTTTGCCTACGATGCTCTTGAAAAATGGCACAAGAAAAAACTCATACATGCTCGCCTTCTCCAGTCCATTGACCGTGCACGCCGACGCGCCGCTACCCGCATTCAATATGGTCATCATTTTGTATTCGGCCGAGTGTAGTTCACGCGCGTAAATGTAGAAACCCTCAATGTACTGACCGCTGTCAATGTCCCAAGCGAGTCGCACCGTCGTCGCATCGGTGGCATTGGCCTCGAGTAGTTCGACCAAATCGTTGGTCTGCAGCACAGCTTCCGCTTCATTGAGCAACAGCTCCGAAGTGGCTGTACCGCCTGCGCCGCCACCACCAACAACGCCACCGTCGCCGGCACCGAGCAATTTGCCCGCCGTAATTGGCTCCGAAATGGGGCTGGGCGGCGAGAAACCGTGTGCATTCTCAGCGCGCACAATAAACATGTACGCCGCACCGCCACTAAGGCCTTCAACCGTGAAAATGGGTTCAGTCAAGCGTGCCGCTATCGGTATCCATGTCTTACTTTTATTCGTTGAATACATCTCAACCGTGTAGCCGAGTAGTGGTGAGGCGCCCGCCTTGTCGCTGGTCGGCCAGACAATAGTAAGCGCATTGGCGGATGCATTCAATAYGGTGGGTTGACCGGGTGCATTGGGACATTTGGTTTGTTCGGGTGCACGATAGAATTTAATATTCGGATTGGTGGGCACTTCGATGCGCAGATAACCGCTCCATGTGGACTTGCCAGTGCGACTGCTCGCCACACAGGTGTACAAACCCTGATCTTCTTTGCGGTCCAAATCGGAAATTATCAAATCGCCGGCCGCTGTGATGTTCACTTTAGCATTCGGATGCACGGGTATGCCRTCGCGATACCAGGAAATAGTCGGATTCGGCAATCCAATGGCCTTGCACTGCAAGGTGGCTAATGATTTGACAGGTAGCGTCTGATTAACCGGGCCGGCAATTATAATGGGCGGTGGGCGGTCCTCTTGCGAGTCGAGTGTTAGCTGTGCGCGTGCCGTTATTGTTGCAACCTCATTCATGGCATTGCAAACCACAACCAAATCGCGGTCGGTGCGTTGGAAATTCGTCAGCGTCAATATTGAGTGACCCTCTTCGGTGTTAATGCTTTGAAATCGATCTAGTGGTGGCGCRCCCGGAAATATGATTGTGCGGTTATTTTTAATGGTCCAGAAGAGTGTGGGACGCGGGTTGCCACTTGCCCGACATTCGAACGAAGTATCGGCGCCGAGTTCGATGGATTTGCTTATTGGACGCTGTATGAATTTGGGAGGTGCTGTTTGCAGGCGTACATTTCGTTTCGGGTATAAGGTTTCGTTAGTGCAAAATATTGTTTTTGCGGGTTTGCGGAATAGTAATGARCAAATGAATTAGCATAAGTATTGTGCGCGTAGGTAAACTATTTATTTGCTAGCAACTACTTTTTATTATGGTCTAAATGGAGTGAGCTCTACTTACCAAACACTGTCAACGTGCCCATGGCGGAGATCGCACCGACCACATTATCAGCTTCGCAACTGTATTCACCTTCATCCGCGATTGTGACGCGCTCTAGACGCAGGCTACGATCCTCAAGCACACTAACGCGATCTGTGGAAAGGAGCACAATAAGTTTAGGTCAGTTTTTGTGGAAGATCGACCGCAGAGTTAATTGATATTTTTGATATTTTATTTTTTTTTTTGCTGTTATTGTCTAGTCTCTGTTTTGGTGGCAAGGTTCGGGTTGGTTCTTATCGAAGTTGTCTAACGGTAGGCTCAACGTTCTGTTTCGAAAACGGTCGGACTCTAGTGGGAAGAGTTTTTGGTAGACGCTAGAAACTGCTTGGCTGCTTGTRAAGTGTTGTATTATGTGCCTTGACCGGAAGCCTGCGGACTAGTTATGTAAGTATTCAATACGAAACATTAAGAAAGATCCTTTAATCGTTCAGACTGCAGTATTTGGACCCGTCTGAAGCTTTTTCGTTTGAGTTTGATATCGGTGACACATTTCCTTCACATATCTCTCAATGTCGCCAACAGCGGGTCTTTCTTTCTTCTTCTCCTGGAGCTACCAGCTACCGACTTGAGGATTGCTGGTAGTCGCAATGTGAACGCCATCGACTGTGACCTTAAGATCCAGTCTGTGCTCCTTTTCCCAGTTTGTGAATATGGTCGCTGTGGATTTTGTATGGGAGACTGTCCAACACCTTTCAGAGAAGAAGCAAGGAAGATCAAGGGAAGGCTTGCTTTCGAATACATGAAAACGACTTCATTGCATGACGTACAATCTCCAGCGTTTGATTAAAATTTCCTCTGGTGGTTGAGGGAGTTTCGAGATGTGGAATACAGTAGCGGCGTGAGAACAACATTTGCTTTGTCATCCTTTTAGGATGATTTCCGACCGCTTATATAGTTAATAGTCCACCTCTTCAGTCTTTTAGGTAGCCTGGATTGTTCGATGATCTCCAGCAGCTTTTTATGATTGACTGTGTAAAAAGCTCATAAGGTGGTTTTTATTAAGACCGGGAACTATATGAGTCCTTAGGACGCGTACTTTTTCTTAGATTATTTCTGAGAATCTTTAATGTAATTATTACTACTAATGAAKTATTGATTTTTTAGTGCAGTCACTTTATTCATCCTACTGGTTACTTGAGAAGCGTAATCGTCAATACGTATGCGGATTTCTATCCTCGGGTTTTTAAGACAAAAACCATTACATATATATTAGAAATCGACTTGAAGAAGATAATGCTCTTATATGAGCTGCTTCTTAGAAATATTATTATGGCAGGCTTACTGTGTAGCTTTGAATCCGTCACGGTCATATTTAGAGCAACAACCCACTTAGTTATCGCCAACGAAGAGCTCAAGGGTACTTAAGAAACCTTTCATATACCAGTTTTCTTGATACTACAGTAGGTATACTCAACCGTTTTGTAGGGCTCTGATATCTACTGTACTACCCTAGCTTCTGTGAACAGAACCCTTTGAAATGGACAGTTCTCTGAAAATTTCTCCATACGACAAATGCTATATAATAAGACYCTCATAATGGTGTTCGCCTTCTGTAATGAGGCTGCAAACAAATCGAGTGTGAAATTGGTACTCATTTACTCAACCCGGCTTATCTTTTAGGTAAGACTTGGTGAGGAAAATYTTCATTTTCTTACGGGGGGGCAAAGAAGAGATTAATGTGAAGTAACCTAGCGACATCGATCTTACCAAAGTTGGCACTTAAATTACCTCAGTTTGCCAAYCAAGTTTTAAGCCACATAAAACCCAAAAAAAAGGAAAGACACGTATGCAACAAACACATTTCAGAGAGTCATAATTCCACTTACCCAATGGCATATTTCCGCCGGATGCTGTGCGYAACCATAAAACATCTGGCATTGGATCACCGCCAACGCGACAAGGAAACGTCACCGATGAGCCCTCCAATACCGTTTGATCATGTGGGCCACGTATGATAAATGGTTTCACTGGAACGATAAACAACACAAAACACAMGTGGCCATAAATACGAATTAGACAGGCAGGAATAAGAGATGACTGAATTCTGAGAAAAGCAAACGCCTTTGAAAGTGGAGCAAATACAGCAGAAATTTACGATTTAATCATGGAAACTGTGTTTGTGGCCAACAGATATGTAGCATAYGTATGCAGGTAGGCGTTTGTATGGTATGTGTATGGGTGTGTGTGTGTGTGTGTGCCATACATGACACATTGGTCAGCCAAGCAAGTCGGTGTATAGCTGCCTGTTGTCAGTTGCCAAGTCAATTTCGCTGCCAATCAGCTGTGTAAATTGCCTGCAAAACGTAGCCAACACCAACGGACTGACATTGGCTTACGAGCACGTAAGACGTTTGCCACACACGCACATACATACATACATATCTGTCAGCCAGAATCACGTGTGTGAGAAAAAAAAGAAGAAAATATTATGCTTTCCATTTGCCTCACTCACCGTGCACTTTGAGCGTCGCCAATACAGATTCCCGTACGCCCACAGGATTCTTGGCAATGCATTGATATTGACCCTCATCACTTTGACGTGCATCCTGTATGGCTAAATTGCCACCGTCGACGATGCGTATACGCTTCGTGCTATCCAAATCCAATTTCTGGCCACCTTTCTTCCATGACACCGCCGGCTCGGGGATGCCACGTGGTGCGGCACATTCCAGCAGCGCTGTGTCACCCTGTGCTATGCGTGTATTCTGCGGCTCCAGACGGAATTCGTCGCGCAGCACTGTTCGAAAGAAAGTAAAAAAAAGACAGAGAAAAGAAAATAGTTTTTATTGCAGTTGAAATATGTTTAAATAAATTGTGTGGATGGTAAGTAGCGTGTGGATGAGAATGCGAAAAATGCTGCTGGCGTTGGGAAAATAAAGGATTAGACGCAAATAAATGATATAAGAGACGATTAAGAAATGCCGRGCATACCAGACAATTGGACGTGGCGCTGAAGAGCGGAGAGTGTCGTGAGAGCAGTTTTGTTGCTTGTGTATGGTGCGTACTTTAAGTGACTGGGTTATGCACGACTGGTTGGTGAAAGTGCATGCATAGTGTTCAATATTGAATAGGTGGTAGAAGGCGTTTTAAAGCGGAAGTTGATATGAATATGTAGTGTAAATGGTACCAGCRTGTCTCTGTCTCCAACTATAGTTATTGAAAATTTAAAGTGGAATCTGCTTTATCATGCGTCTAGGATGGAAGAAGGTGGAAAATATTTTCGATTTATTCGCTGTAATTGTCTGATCAAGACGTTCGAATCTGGGCATCTGACAGTAGTTCATGGTTCGGTCTCTCGAAGAATGTGTTTAAGTCAAATTCAGATTTAAAATGTTCTAAAAAAAATCGCCTTAAAACTGCGAGTTTCCAACTAACCCCAGTGAGCTTAGTCGAAGTGGAAGATGTTTCCAAAAAAKAAACGATTTTTAAGGATTTTATTTGTCTTATTTATTAGTCGTGATATAAAAGTGATTTCTCTTTTAAATGTGTCTGGATAACCCATATTATATATTATATGTAAGAGTGCTCCTAAATGTAGGCAACGCTTTTTGTAATTTTTCAATGACAGAAAAGCAATTTCCATTTTATGGAGAGGTTCCGGTTACATATTAACATCAAGACGAAATTAAAATAAAAATAAACTAAGAGTATTAAGTTTTTMATTGTATCAGATAGATTTCTCTTCGTTGTACTAGTCACATTGAGACGTTCTAAACTTGGAATCGGACAATAGCTGGTTCGTTCCCGAAAAATATATATATTTAGCCTAAGTTCCAAAACAAATTTACTCTTTAAATAAYTGCGGAAAAGCAGGTTTAATGCAACTAACCCCAATGAGCTTAAGCGAAGGTGAGGATGACATGCCAGAAAGTTGCACTCCGGACTACAACGTGATGCCTCTTGATGTTTCCCATCGAACATCTGCACAACGAGGCCCACAAGCTCATAGTTAAGCAGCTTAACGAACACRGAAAAATCATCTCTGCAGTCACCTGTTTGTAGCCGATCCACCTCCTAGATCAAGAGGTACTTCCTCAACTACGGYGACGACAAAAAACAATACGCCGACCAGACTTCGGACGCAACAAACTTCAGACACGCACTGACCGCAATTCACAGTGGTTAATACCTTCAACGACTCCCTCACAATGAATGGCGTACTTGGAGTCAAAATACCTCCCATTGTAGATAAATATATTTTGAATTGTGAAATTTCAAAAACCCTATTTAATATATAAAGTAAAAGGCCTCTTCATACATTTTTTATTAAAATTATTTTAAAAATTAATATTCAGATATGATTGTTGATAATTTTTATGTGAATAATTGTTATTTAATGCTTAATCGCCTTAATGTAAGCAACAATTTATAAATGTTATGCTAGTTCAATATCGAAAGAGACATTGTAGTCTAWAAATACATATATTTTTATATACTTTTAAAGTTCACATATTCAAGAAAATGTATACAAGAGGATTTTGCAAAACTCAAATTATTTTCGAAGATCGGAGATAGGTATTTTGCTGATCCGGAATACAAACTGGTTCGGTTGTAGCTGAAAGTTTAAACGAACTTTTCTCAAAACTATTGCAAAATCATAGATCATTTCTCAGATTCTATTGGACCGATTTACTTGACAAAAAAAAAAGAGTCTTTATAGATTTGTCTTTGTCTGTAGCTAAACATATCTTTTAATTTTAAAATTTGTTAAACAATTTGAAAGAGTTAAGAAAAGTGTTAGAAAAATTGTATTTTTTTTGTCGGTAATCAGGAACGAAATTTTTCAAACTTTTTCGTAGTTCCAGATATTCCGACGCTATTCTAAGCTAATTAAGTGTTTTTTGCTCCTAATGCTAGAAGGGTTGGGTGTGTCGTCACGAAACAACTTTTTGAGACCACCTCAACTGCTAATATTTAAAATTTTCACATTATTTTTTTTATATTTTTATTTTGCCTATATTAACGTATTTTTAGTAAATTGTTAATAGAAAAAGGTATAGTTGAAATATTAATTATCCTTTTTACGACACACTAAAAGTTACCTGAATATATGTTTCTAGACTAGAAAAAACCCTAAACGAATTAGCTATAAAAAATATTGCCTATATTTTGGGGCAAATCTATTTTCCGGGAAGAATTTAAAGAAAAGCTAGAAAAGCATATAATAAGGCGCCATATTTCCTATTAAAAATAAAGTAAAATTTTAAGCATTTCCTTATGAAAAACTTGCACCAACATTATACATAAGTACTTGCTTAATGCAAGTAYTCYGCCACTAAATAAATCAGTCATCACATTCGCTGCTGTTTTTCACAATTTTGTGTCCAAAACTTTGCGTTCTACAATTAATCAAATCGCAGTTGACATTTGTTAGACCACTAAGCCAGAARCAGACACACACCCACACGTTTCCGCCTTTCCCCGACATATTTCCGCAACTTGAAAGACGGAATCGTTAATTAATGTCAGCCAAAAGTTATACTTTCAATTCAATCTCGTTGCTGGGTCGAGCAATTATGTGTAATTTCTAAGCTTTCAACCGACTGTGGGCGAACAAAATGGTATATTCGCCAAAGCCACAGATACACATACTCACACGGCCACATTTAATACATACATACTACTACAAATGTATGTACTATATGTATATTATGTAATGCGGCGTGCAAGTTAGTAGCTAAAATTATATAATTACAAAGACGTTGACTTTAGTGACAACAACAATTTCAACTTTTCGCCGAACTTTGACATTTTTGCAATTAACGTAATTGCTTGCAACAAATGAGCCAAACTAAAGGGAGCATGCCAAAAATATATATAAACACTATACTCTTATAGATATATGTATGTGATTGTGAGCAGCTAAAGCGAATCTTGATTGGCGTAAAAGCTGAGCTTTGAAGTTATGTGTGCACTTAAGTACCCCAAATGTGTGCATATAAAATAACCCACAAGTTGGCGAAGTTTTCCACAATTATTACACACAATCACATGAGAGTCTTAATTGACGCGCATTATAGCGGTAAATACATATACATATGAACTTATAAGGTTCTTTGACCGAAACTTGGTTGCATAATCGTGCTTATGGCGAAGGGTGCATATTAAATATCCGTTATACAAAGCGTTTAAACTATAGCTGAGTTTCTATTCCATTATACAATTACATATTTCTTCTCAAAACAACTCTTGTGAAATTTGCTGTTGTGCTTAATCGAATACAAATTATCCATCCTTGGCCTGCTCTGTGGGAGTGACATCCTCCAGAAATGGATGGGAAGGTTAATAACTGAGAATGTGGGATCGTAGAAAGAAAGAAGGAGCCATCTCCGAGGAGTGGAAGTTGGTCCAAAGAAACTCCGGTCCAACTCCAAGGTCAGAGAGAGCGAGCTGGCATCTATATAAAAGTCGAACAGACAAACGATCACAGCCTCCCTGTATAAAGAAGTGGTAGTTAGAGTTGTAGAAGTTTGGAATAGAGCTAAGCTAAAAACTCTGGTCAAGATGGATCTATCACAGATTCCTCGCGCTCATACCTGACGTCCTGCAGAACTCTACACTTCTGAGGCGAAATAGTAGATATTGAATTACTGCAAATATTTTTTTGTCTCAAGAGATCCGATGAACCATATTGGTAGGTGCTGTTCTTCTTGAACAAGGAACCCATCTGTCCTCTCACCGACGCAAGGGCTGCCACTACCTATGGCTTTAAGAGGCATATATAGGATCTTCCCGACCGGAATCAGTGTGAATATCTCACAAACTACACGACAGACAGGCAGGATATGAACTCGTCCCCTTTGGAGGCAGCAAGCGTTGGGGGCAAATCATTAACCTACGACTCTGTCTTCACTCTCGCGCGACTATTCGAGGAGTTTCGTGTCGATAGTCTGGCAAGTGCGGAACTTGCACTTCTAGAGAAAAGTCTGGGAAATAAAAATCTTTCTGCTTAATCTCCACCACCTGAAGGCGGCCTTTGCCCATATTTTGCTTCCTTTCGAGAAGAACGGATCGAGAATAACTTTTGCCATTCTAAAACATAAATCTTTACATGCTCTTCAACTATTCAGTCTATTCTTCATAACAATTCGGTACTCTCTCAGAAGTCAATATATTCAGTTCTAGCGATATTAAAGAAGTGAATCATTCGCTGTAGAACTACAATAAATGTAGCCTCACATTTATACTGCAGTGTGTGGGCAGGAATCCATGTATGGGAATGTACTTCAGCATCTTCAATTCACACAAGAGTATGTCCACACACAAATATAAATTCTCCCCACACACATGCCCATACAAATACACAGGCTTGTTTGTGCGATGATTAAATTTTTACACCAGAAAAATCAATTACAATAATGTCTGTCTGAGGGCCAGTTGAACAACTATAATAACGACAGCAGCACAGTAACAGCAGCAAGAAAAACAACCACACGAGCGCATGTGGTCAGTAAAAGTCAGACATTTATGTATTCTCCAAAGAAAAAAACCGCCGGCCAGACTCTATACTATATGTATATATATAGGGCAGCAACAAAAAGTCAAAACAACAAACTTTTCAACTTTTGATTTCACTTGCAGCGGCGAGCCGAGTACGGAGTAAGGGAAAATGAATGAACTCACACACATACTCATAAAAGGATTTTCGAAAGAAAATGCGACTGTGAGTGAAGAATTCCATCTTTTCTTATTGCTTTCACATTTATTGAGGCATCAGTTGCGTCTGGAGCTCCGTAA